GTGTGTGTGTGAGTGTGTGTGTGAGTGTGTGAGTGTGAGTGTGAGTGAGTGTGTGTGCGTGAGTGTGCGTGTGAGTGCGTGTGAGTGCGTGTGAGTGTGTGTGTGTGTGTGAGTGTGTGTCTCTAGAAGACCGCAGCAGTTCTGAGCCTCTGCTGTCTAGGCAGGTGTCGAGGACACACTTGAATGATGTCTGAAAGACAAACCCCTCGATATCACGGATTCCTGTCAGAGAATTAGATTTACAATCTAAGCTGATTTATTGAAATGATTGTGTTTAGATGCAGTTATATGCAAAACAAGAACAAAGAAATATACAATGTTAGGATAACAAACAGTATTAAAATAGGGTATGTATTATCGGTTTATTAATTGCTAGATATACATTTGCAATTGCAGAAAAACAAACAAAAACAAAACAAAACTATGGAATAAAGAAATAAAAAGGAAATTCAGAATTTTTATCTCATTTTATATTTTTACATTTACATTCATGACGTTTATATCTTACAATCTTAAATTTATATCACAATTATGAGTTTATATCTCAAATTATTATTTTACATCTTGCAATTTTTTAGTTTATATCTGACAATTATGAGTTTATATCTTGCAATTTTTTAGGGTTAGGACAGAATTCATGTCTCACAGTTTTGAGTTTATTTCTCACAATTCTTACTTTTTTATTTTTTATTTTTTGTCAGAATTGCAAGAAAAGTTCATAATCGTCGTGAGATTAAAAAGTTGCAATGAGCTTTTTAATAGTTTTATTCTGTGTCAGAAACAGACTTGCGGTGTTTAGTGAGCGTGTGCAAGTGAAGCATGATGATATGTGCATGTCTGTGAGAGGCTGTGGAAGTGTTTGTCAGAGCTGTAGTGTACATGTGACGCACGGCTGCTGTTTGTTCATCTGCTGAGCTTCTGGGAGTTTAATGTCCCTCAAGAACTGAAGAACGCTCTCTTCATAATCCCAGCGAGCTGCTGACTTGCACTGGTTTTCTCCCGCAGCCGTCTGTATCTGTGTCTGTGTGTCTGTCAGATGGAGCAGCAGGCCAAGCCGTACATGTTTGCGAGCCTGACGCGTCCTCACTCCGAGCAGCTCCTGCAGGGTCTGCAGCTCCTGCGGCAGGATCACGAGCTCTGCGACATCGTGCTGCGGGTCGGAGACGCCAAGATCCACGCGCACAAAGTGGTGCTGGCCAGCATCAGCCCGTACTTCAAAGCCATGTTCACCGGAAACCTGTCCGAGAAAGAGACGTCCGAGGTGGAGTTCCAGTGCGTCGATGAAGCCGCTCTCAAGGTCAGAACACAGCAGCACAGCATGATTATTTAAATGAAGCAGTGTAGCTATGTGTTTGGTTGAATATAGCCTATTTTATTCTGATAATGAACAGGCTGCAACGTTTGCAGTGCTGCATGTGTGTGCGTGAGGTGGAAAGATAACATACTCGTATTATATATATATACATATAATTGATTCAGCACAAACTTAACGAGTTAAGTGCTCTGTTTCCATCTCTCGTCAGGCTATAGTGGAGTACGCCTACACAGGAACCGTCTTCATCTCACAGGAAACAGTGGAGACTCTACTTCCTGCCGCCAACCTGCTGCAGGTCAAGCTGGTTCTGAAGGAGTGCTGCAGCTTCCTGGAGAGTCAGCTGGACGCGGGGAACTGCATCGGCATCTCGCGCTTCGCCGAGACCTACGGCTGCCACGAGCTGTGTTTATCCGCCTCTAAATTCATCTGCCAGCACTTCGAGGAGGTGTGCCAGACGGAGGAGTTCCTGGAGCTGACGCGAGCCGAGCTGGATGAGATCGTGTCCAACGACTGTCTGAACGTGCTGACGGAAGAGAGCGTGTTCTACGCGCTGGAGTCCTGGATCAAGTACGATCTGACGGAGCGGCAGCAGTATCTGGCGCAGCTCCTGCACTGTGTGCGGCTACCGCTGCTGAGCGTCAAGTTCCTGACGCGGCTCTACGAGGCTAATCACCTGATCCGAGACGACCACGCCTGCAAACACCTGCTCAACGAGGCGCTCAAGTACCACTTCATGCCCGAGCACCGGCTCTCCTACCAGACGGTGCTGTCCACACGGCCGCGCTGCGCTCCTAAAGTCCTGCTCGCCGTCGGAGGAAAGGCCGGGCTCTTCGCCACGCTGGAGAGGTGATGATTATACTTCACTAACACTCAAAACATCTCCCAACTTTCACTATAGAATAAAGGTTAGCTGAAATATTAAATAAAATGTAAAAAAACGGCATTGCTCATTTTCTTTTAGTTTAACTTCATGTGCTAATAAAATTAAAAATGAATAAAAACTATATAGACAACAAAAACTAATAAAAATGACAAAAACACAACAAAATGACTGAAATTAACATGAAAGCAGGACATTTTGAAATAAAATGCAATGCAGAATATTAACAAACTATTATATTCTCTCAGTGATACTAAAATAACACTGATTTGGGAGGAACAGTCTTATTGTTTGTTGTTGTTTTTTTTTAATGCAATGTTTTGCTGTGCTTCTCTGTAGGATTGCACAGTTTGGACAAAAAATGCTCTTATAAGTTAATATGACTAATAATAATGGTATTATTGTTATATACAAATATTGAATAAAATAAGAAAATATTACTATTGTAATAACATTATTTCACTCACTATAAAATAAAAAGAGTATTTAATAATAATAATTAGAAATTTAATAAAACTATTTTACAGAAAACTTTTATTTTCCCCAAAAAATGCTGGGTGGAAATTAATAATTATTTTAAGGTATTATTAATTGGTAATTATTTAAAAAAATACTTAAGTAATTCAATTAAAAATTATATAAATTCTAATTAAAACATTTATTTATTTTACATATATTTATATATATGTAATATATATAATATATATTATAATATATTTTTATTATTAATTGGTAATTATTTGTAATTAATTAATTACATTTACAAAATTATATACATTTTAAAAATTGCTTAATTGTTTTAATTTATAATATAAAAAATATTAATTTGTAATTACTTTAAAAAGTAAAAAATATTTTAAAATGTAATAGTTTTAAAAATTGCGTAAGTGATTAAATAAAAAATATATACATTAAATTGAAAGTTACTTGATTGTTTTATGTACTAGTGGTGGTGCTAGCGGGCGAGCTGTACGCTCTCGGCGGATACGACGGACAGTACTACCTGCAGTCTGTGGAGAAGTACGGGCCCAAGCTCAAGGAGTGGCAGCCGGTGGCACCGATGACCAAATCACGCAGCTGCTTCGCCACCGCCGCGCTCGACGGCATGATCTACGCCATCGGAGGATACGGCCCCGCCCACATGAGCAGGTACGACCCGCCGCAGCAGTGCATTCTGGGAGGAGGCAGCAGTGGGATTATCTTTAACTACAGCTGTTGCTCCTGATGAGACTCTATGTCCTTTATTACTCACTATTGCCTTACATGTTTATATAAAGTTAATCTATTATTATATTTATTATAATTAGGATGGGTTAAACGCAGAGCACTAATTCCTAGTATGGGTAACCATACTTGGCCACATGTCACGTCACATAATATGTGACCCTGGAGCACAAAACTACAACTATTTGAAAATCTGGAATCTGAGGGTGCAAAAAAATCTAAATATTGAGGAAAATCGACTTTAAAGTTGTTCAAATGAAGTTCTTAGCAATGCATATTACTAATCAAAAATTAAGTTTTGATATATTTACGGTAGCGACTTAAGCCTGCTTTTGTGCTGCAGGGCCACTAATAGTCAATTTATTACTAATTTGTAATTATTTTAAGAAGTACTTATAATTAAATAAAAACTGTATAAATTAAACATTACTTACAAGCAGTTAAAGTAATGAGCTTCTGTGAGGTGACGTGCTGATCATAACTGGTGTCATAACTGCTATTATTATCATTATAACTTAAAAACAGCCATTAAATCAGCCATCACTGAGTTTTGCAGTGATCTTAAATCAAGATTCATGATATTTAGAAGACTGTGGGCAGGAAGCACCAAAATAATGTAACGTAAAATAAAAATAACTAAACAAAAACTGAAATTCAAAATAATAAAAAATTAAATGCATACACGCAACAAAAACTAATTAAACCGACAAAAACAACAAAATCCAATTCAAAATATTAAAAAGTGCTTAATTAATATAACATTGGCTGGTAAATTAGTTGAAACATAATTATATTCAAGGCCTTGTTTCAAATAGAACTACTGAATAACAAAAAATTAATGAAATAAACTTTCAGTTATACTTTCAGTAAATATTTCAAAATACTAAAATGACTAAAACTGAAAATAAATAAATATATTAACTAGACTAATAAAACCAACAAAGACACAAAATTGCTAAAAATTGAAATGAAATCAGAAAATATATATTTTTTAAAAATTCAAATATTAATATGTACTATAATACTACTTTAGTGATTTTAAAATGGTCCTGGTTGGTAAATTAGTAGAAACCATTATATTCAAGGCCTTGTTTTAAATAAAAACTACTGAATGACTTTAATAGTTACATTTATTTTTATAGTTCTAAGTTGATTTTTTGTATTTTTAATTGTAGTCTGAGCCTCTTTGCAGTGAGCGCAGGTCTTGCTGCTGTAGTTTGGGGCTCATGGGACGCTCCTGCTGTTGTGCTCGTGTCTCCATGAGAGAGGAGGCTCTCGAGACATGTTTCGCTGAAGCACCTCTAAACCTGTGGCAAGAGAGAACAGACTCATGGGACACTGCCATGGTTTCATATTTCTCATTAATATGTGATTTCACTGGTTACTTTGAGTTATTCCTGCTCAAAACAACACACATATGTGACCCTGCAGCACAAA